AGAGAGAGAGAGAGAGAGAGAGAGAGAGAGAGGAGAAGCAGTGCAGCACCCAGCTGGTTAGCAGCTCCAATCAGGCCCTGGGCAGCTGGCTTAGGCTCCCCCAGAGAATTTCTACGCAGGGCCGGCTTCGTGCCTGCCTCCCCTCCCGGCCCATCTCCCAGTCACCTCTCCACCTGCCTCTCACCGGACATAATAGTTATGCAACAAGAGAAAGTCTAAACGTACAGAATTAAAAAAAAAAAATCTCAAGACATCAAAATGTTTTAAATTCTTGCCTTTGAAAAATGAAATCCTGAGGGATGTGTTTTCTTCTACTTGTTTTATTCCCCCACCTCCATTTTTAAACACATACATATTTTTTTCATAAGCATAAAAATTTAGCATAATTTTAAAAGTCAAGACAGTTTTGTGACGCACACCAAACAAAAATTCCCGCTTCTGCCCGTTCTGCCTCGGCCTAGAGATGGTCTCGGAGCACGGGGTCCAAGGCTAAGGTTGGGGCTCTGTTGCATGGAGCCTCCTTGCAAAGACCAAAGAAAGGGCAGTGGGAGAAAGCTGGGCCGTCCATACTAAGTCTTGCCAAGGTTTTTATCGACTATTAGCAAACTGGACTTCATATATTTTATTTGCTTATACAATTCATTTTTACATGAGGGTTTTTTTGTTTTTGTGTTTAAAGTTTCCATTTATTTGAAGTGGCAGTTTTTGCCGCATAAGGGTTAAAAAATGATCTGGCCATCAGTGATAGTCTGGATACCGCTTGGCCCAGCAAAGCAAAGGCATGAAGAAGGGCAAAGCTATACTCCCAAAGCACGAAAAAAAGTGTCCCTGGTGGATGCCTGCGGGTCCTGTGAGGACCGTCTGAACACGCTCCACTGGGTGGAGAACGTGCTTTAGGAGTGAGGATGACGAAGTGCAGCTCTCTGGTGGTCAGAATCCTTGCACTGCTCCATCTGGGACTGCCCCTTGCTCACCCCACGCCCTCCAGTGCCATCAGGTGGAGCTGGCCCTGGCGTTTCAAAGGGCAGAGCACGAGTCTTGAACCTCACACGGGAACTACTGAATCAGTCTGCATTTTGCCAGACCCCCAGATGATGCACAGGCTCATTAGAGTTTGAAAAGCACTGCTGTAAACAGCTGGCCCATGTGGGTCATGCCCACTGATGACCAGCCTGAACGTCCACATATTATCTTATTAGGTTCTCACACCCTTCCCCCCTATAGCAGGTGAGTAGAGGAGGCGGTACAGGCCCTACTTTACAAACGAAGAAAATGATTTAGAAGGGTAAGTGACTAGAGCAAAGCCATGTAGCTAGTAAGTTACACAGCAGAGCCTAGAACCCCAGCCTTTGACTGCAAGTCTAAGAATCTCTCCACCACACACACCTGCCTCTCTGTGCTGGACCCAGAGCTGTGAGAGCCAAGAGCAACTCAGTGAACAGGCCTCACCACGTCACGTATGGACGGGCCACGCACGTCCTTGTAAGGGAGACGGTTTCTGCAGTGTATATTGACTGCGGGATGATGTTTCCTATTCTAACTATTCAATTTCCTTTACACTCCAAGTCCAGGGCTGTCTGCCCCTTTGAGTGGAGAGGGGCAAGTTCACTCTTTCATAAACACCTACTGAGAACTCAAATAGGCAGACCTTGAGATACTATAAGGAGAAGAGCAGAGGCAGCTGGGCGTTTCAAAATACCTATTCCTGTCTTCTTTCCCAGTAATAGAACCTCAGCTTTAGTTGGCTTGGTATTGTACCTAGGAAAAGACAATTTCCCAACCTACCTTGTAGCTAAGTATGACCATGTAACTAAGTTCTGACTAATGAAACAGAAGTGGACACTATTAGGGAAGATTATGAGAAAGCTCTTTAAAGGGGAGACAAATGGCTGTGCAGACTCTTTTACAATTCTCTCCTTCCTCCTCTTTCCTGCCTGGATCTTGGATGTAATGGTTAGAGCTCTAGCAGCCATCATGAACCATGAGGCAACCTTAAGGGTGATAGCCAAGGACTAAGGATGCAAGGCAGCAATATAGAGAGAGGCTGGTTCTCCGATGGATGTGTGGAACCCCTATATCAGCTCTGAGGTACTGTTCTCTGGACTGTGATATTTGAGAAAAATATCCTTTTATCTTATTCTGTTTAGTCTCTGTTACTAGCAGTCAAATACAATTTCTAATTGATACAGCAAACAAGACCAAAATACCCTTGACTTTACAGAGCTTAGAGTCTCACCAGCTGGAACTAATACAATGTGACAAATATGGGGTGGGGGATTACAAGAGCCACAAATCCAAGGAAACTGAAGATGCAGGAAGATTTCTCCAGAGAAATCTAAGGTTAGGACTAACAATGGGTTGGATGTGGCCACACAGAGAGGGGAGAGAACAATGTTCCAGGAGAGGAAAGAGCGTGTGCAAGGACCCACAGGCAGGACAGAGCACAATCTGTCCTATGAACAAATTTGAATTTTATCAAAAGAGTTATAGAGGCTACTGAAGGCTTTTCAGTAAAAACTTTCATGTTAGAAAAATCCCTCTGGCTGCTATGCTGAGAGAGAACTAAAAAGGCAAGTTTGAAAGCAGGAGACCAGTTGGAGGCCAGTGCAGGACCCCAAGTGAGATACCAGGACAGCCTGGACCAGGAAGGGTGCTGGAGGGGAGGGAGAGGAAGGGATGGATCTGAGTGACATTTGGCAGATAGAATTAGCAGGACGTGGAAGGTAAGGGAACAGAAAGACTCAAGAGAGGGGGGCTCAGCTGACCGACTTGAACCGATTTGGGAACAAGAGAATCAGCTCAGGTTGGGTCACACCGTGTCCATCACCACTGCAGAAAAATCTTATTTCATAGCAACAGATTGTTCTCTATCTTGCTCATGGGTGTGTCAAGGGGTCAGCCCCAGCCCAGTTACCCATTACTACTGCAAATAGGTTAAAAAAACCTTTTTTCATGTACAAAGGAACCATGATATATATGAGGTTAACACCTGCTGGGTAATAACCTGGAGAATTTTTTCAAGGTATTGTGTGAAAGTAAAAAGTGGTAGGTAGATTTTTATACACATAAGTACAAGACAATTATCTTATAGACAAGTGATCCCAACTATTCTTAGAGTCCAAATTCCATCATTCTCTTAAAGCAATGTTGTCAGTCTCAATTCTCAGGGACAATTTAGGGAAAGGTTCTGAGCTTCAGTACATGAAATAGGCTGAACATCAAGAAAAAGAGAAACCCACCTCACTACAAGGAGAGCTGTCTCTTACTGAATACTGGGTGCAGTTCTGGCTACTGACGGGAATCAGATAGAAGTGACCAGAGATCAATTAACATATGGGTGCAGTTCAACTGTTTGCCATTGGAGGGCAGTCTAACATGATTCCCGCAACAGTCAGGGCTGCTCAGGGCTGAGAGGTGTAAATTGCCTAAGGCTTCACACCACCACTGCTCACAGTCCCACTAAGCGGGCTCTCTCAGTGTGGAAATAATGCAAAATAAGGGGTTAAGGATACATCCTTAAAAACAGTGATTGCAGTATAACATGCAAGAGAGGAAACTGGAAACAATCTGAACATCCAATGATGAAGGAATGGCCAAGGAAATTACGAAATATGTAGAATACTAGGCTTGCTTTCATCAAAAATCATAAAGAACAAAACTATCGTGTTTAGTGTAAAATGCTAGATACAAAGTGCTATGTATGAGCATTAAATTTATTTAAATTAATTTAAAACCAAATTCTTATGGGAAATATGGGTAGAAAAGATAAAAAAAAAAAACCTTGATAATATAAAATATGAAGCTGTAACAATCATCAAACAGGACATGCAAGGCAGGAACAAGAAGTGTAATACAGGCAAGAAGCAAGGGAAAAAGTCAACCATCTAGAAAGTTTTAAACCATCTCAAATTATTCCTGAATTTTTATAAGCAGAATCTCAAGGGGAAAAATGTGCTTTTCTAGATTCACGGCCTGATTTAATTCTACATAATTAAATAAGGAAAAATGAATTAGTTAAACGTACAATTCGAGAAGTTAAGAAAAACAATAAAATATACCCACATAACAGATGGAAGAGGATAATAAAGAGCAGAAATGAAGGAACTACAAACCAGAAAAGAAGGAAATGGACCATTTTCTAGGAAAATGCAAAGTACAAAATTGACCCCAGAAGAGGGAGAAAACATAAATAAAACAATACAAGTGAGCAAGCAACGAAAAAAGAAATAGAAAATGACTACAGCGTTCATGAATAGACTTGCATCCCTACATTAGAAAATTCTGCAGTATATTAAAAGAATAAAGTTGCTTTGAATGAGCTGATATTTTTTTTAAAAGGAAAAAAGCAAGGTGCAAACTTGCTTACTTACACAAACTCCTTTGTGTAAAACTCACAGACTCATCTAGACACATGCTATTATATGTTTATGACATTGAGGATCTATTCTCATTGGGGCAGTGTGGTCAACTAGTCAATACTGAGACTCTGCAGCCAGGTTCCCTGGACTTGAATCCCAGCTCCCCACTTTCTAGCTGTGTGACTGTCAGCAGTTTCCTTAGCTTCTCTGTGCCTCAGTTTCCTCATCAGTAAAACAGTAACAACAACAGAACCTAATTCATAGAGCTATGGAGATTAAATGGCTTAATTCATACAAAGGGCTTTAGAACAGTGCCTGATAGTCATACGATAAATGCTCACTAAATGTTACCTGTTGTCATTATTTTATTCATGCTGATATACACTCCTTTTTTTCCCCCTAAAAGGAAGCCTAAGAGAGATCTGTCAGCAATTGTCCTTAGGAAGCTGGGGAGAAGAGACGAGTTGGGCGGAGGGTGCTCACAGACAACGGAAGGGCGGCTTTCTCTTTGTGAACTGCTTGCATTCCCTAAACATCCGCATAATTACACAGGACTATGTAGACGGTGGACTTATGCGACACTCTGGTTTTCTTTTTCATCTTTCTCTGCATTTAAACAATATCTTATATTTTTAAATGTTATGTTCACTCTTAGCACAACTATGTAAGATACATAGAAATGAAAAAAAATTAGAAGGAAAATCACAAAAATTCTTTCAGTACTTTTGTTGAGAGTAAGAAGATTCAGAATCTTTTTTCTCTCTTCATTTTCAATTCTTTTATATTTATTTTCAAATGTACTAGTTAAAAATATTCTTGCTGTAACCCTCCCCCATCCCCATCCTCCCCAGGGTAGTGGGCATCTTTCCAGACCTTTTCCTGTGCATTAACATAGATGCATCAGTATAGAAATGTATAATTGTTTATTGTTTTTAACAATATAAATATTATCACACTTCATGTATTGTTCTGCAATTTTATTTTTTCAATTAAAAATAGGTCTTGGAAAAAACTTTCTATATCAATACACAAGTATTTACTTTATTTGTTAATATGCTAATTAACGTTACCTAATATGATCATGGCAAAGTTTATGTAACTGTTTCCTTATTGACAGACATTTGGTTTCTTCTCAAATGTTCACTCTTGCCAACAACACTACAACACACAGCCTTCAGCACACCTGTTCATGCTCCTGAATAGTTCTTCATGATTTTTCCCTATTCTGTCTACTTTTTAGGATGTTGCATTGCTTTTATAATATGAAATAATTTTTAAACCAACAAGAGTAAGGAGAAGAGGAACATTAGCTTGCTTTCCAAGCCCAAGAATTCTACACGGCATTCATCCCTTAAAGCACAACATGCAAGTGAATATCAGGACACTTCAAAGTAAATAGTAAAGCCAAAAACAAAACACCTCACAAACAAAACAGTAATCATTTTCTTCCAGAGGTTGTAGAAGTACAAATGTAAATCTGTAGTTCAGCCAAATGCATAGACGTCACAGCATTAATTGTCCATTGGGGTGATTAAGGACAAACTGTATTTAATGGAAACATCATGAACAATCGAGTTTCTTGGCACAGCTGCCAATGTTAGGTGATGGGACTAGATGGACGGAGAGGCAGCCATGTGTAATCAGTCTTATGCCCTTACTACCATTATTATTAACCAATGACAAACCTTTGCAAAGACCCCCCATAATTGATTATCTTGTCTCTTTTCTAATAGGCTTACTGTTTCATGAGAAAAGACCCATGAAGCAATTAAATACAAGTTTATTATTTTAGATAAGAGAAGGGAAATATTCTTTTTCTATCTCCCATTTTTCTTTCTCTGAGTTTGCACATGGACCAGAACAAGCCCCATATCCTCTCTCATACCCAAGACCAGACGAAGCAGCAGAAATCTCTGAGGAAAGGAGAAGAACGTGGCTCTCCAGATCTCTGGATGGGGAAAATGTTCCTTCAGGGAGCTTTCATGTCAGGGGAGCCAAGAGACGGTGAGGCTGAGATTCACTCTATTAAATATCAGAGCAGAACGTGTTATTTTGTTTAATGGAACCACAGAACAATTCTCTTCTGAATAGAGAGAGTTTGATTTAGGGGAAAAAAAAGAAAAGAAAAGAAAGCAATTTGGCCATTCTTTTTCAAATTGTCACACTCACTGAAGAAGAAAATAAAATGAATGCATTCTGCTTATCCCTGCGGTTGCAGGGTAAACTCTCTCAACATGCATATTTGGGAAAGAAAAAAATACAAGCACACAGCCTAAAACACAAGTTTCTGGGCTTTATATGAGGCTATTTGGGGAAGTGTTAAGACTGAATTGGATGTGTTGCCTTTATGTGCATTTTCAAGTGGTCTGAAAAAGAAATAATAATGTTGCATTGCTCTGGCAGATTAATCTCAAAATCACGTTTTAACACGTGACCCCTTTCTGTAAATCCCACTATGATGCCGTGGCTATGACGCTGTGCCTTCAAGGTCCTCCTGACTCTGGCCCTCATGGCGCAGCACCATTAGATGGCTCACAAGTGCCTTCATTTCTGCTCCACACTTTTCTCATCTGACTTCTGTGCCTTCTCCTACACATTCGTTCCTTTTATTGAATCCATTCCTAGCACCGTGAAGAATCAAAGCAAGAGACGATAAGGACGCATGAATGTTTACTAAACTTTTATTTGAAAGCAATGGCCAAATTAAGGCTTGATTTCTAGTTTCATGTCACACTTGAGGAAGTTTCTTTCTTAACACGTTCGAGTTTGTTCCTCCTGTACCAAAGGCCACGTGATGAAGAGTTTCTGCTTGAGCAGAGTCCAACCTTGCATGGCGGCCACAAGCACTCAGCATGTTGTTAGCCATTGGAGGATGACTGACTCAAAATGTATTCCAACTTCTTTCCTCTGCCATTTTCTACTACAGACTATAAAAACTCAACTCCCCCCACCTCTGCTACAGTTAGGAATCACCATGTGCCTCAGTTCTGACCTATGAGATATAAGGGAAGTCTGCTGGTCTCTTCAGAACCCTACTCCTCCCTGCCCACACAATGCAGAGATAAAGACTGGCTGAGCAGCCGCCATCTTGCAACCAAGAAGGAAATGCCAAGAGAACTTTGGAGATTTAAGCTAGTTGTCATTGAGCTGCTGAACCAATGACTTCGGCTGCCTACTTCTCGGCTTCTTGTAATGTAAGGAAAACAAACTCCCTATTTAAGTTACTTTAAGCCAGATTTCTGTTACTCACAGCCAAATGCAATCCCTAGACTAGATGGTATAGGCCACAGTGATGACAGTCTAGCTGCAGAGAGTTTATAAACACCTTAGGGAAGGCAGGTATCTAACCAATTAACTAAAATATCGAGCGGAATATGAAAAGCACTAAATTGAAATAAGCAAAAGTCCACAACATGGAAGCAGAAAGAAAAATTCTGAGTTGCTGATGGGACCCAGGAAACCCTCACAGAGAAGACTGAGAACACACTGGAGCCGGGCTCTGCAAAATGAAGAGGATTTTTCCAGGCCAAGGAGGGCTAGATCTCCCCATCAAGGACCCAGCATGAAGAAAGGCATGGAGGCCAGAGACAACA